AGTTGGTTGGTTTTATTTTTATTTTTGGTTTGGGTTTTTTTGGTTTTAGGTATAGTAGTGGGGTTTATTTAGGGGTTCATTGATCGGCTTTAACTACTAGTTAAGGGTCTGGGGCGGGTGTAAGAGAACTGAGGGCTTTACTGGAACAAAATATCATCTTAAATCAAAAGCTTCTGTTGGGCTGTGCGCGGTGTGGGAAAGTCAAAGAATTTTTGGTTGGGAATTACAAGATTCTTTTGCTATCGTTTTTTCTTTGTTATCGAATTGTATGAAAGGTTTTTGTGGAAGATCTGGGTTTATTTATCTAAGCTTCAGGTTCAGGGATATCTGGACACAGAGAGAAAGAGATAAACAGAGAGAGAGAGAAAGAGAGATATGGAGAAAGCGACAAAGAGAGAGAGACAGAGAGAGATTGGGGTTTTGTTTGGTTCTTGGCGATAATAGTTCCACATGAGTTGGATTGTTTCAAGTTTGCTCAATTTCAAGTTTGCTTTTATGTGTTTCGGTTTCTTTCGCTTATGCTTTTCAGTCGCGTTCGATTTTTGGCAAAATATATACATTTACACAGAACACCATATACGCGGCAATAGAGCTATTTAGAGGGCTATCTTTGGTTTGCAGATACTCAGTTTGAGTATTCAGGATCCTCACATCCTCCTTGCTTTTGCTTCGATAGTTATCGCTTGCACTTCGATTGCATTTGGTTGACCTACTTAATTTGAGTTTGATTTACTTAGTTAGATACGCATAAATAGTCATCGTTATTGATAGATGTGGAAAATCATAATTTAAATCAACTGAAAAGTTAACCTTGGCTGATTTCCTTCATTCTTTTTTTTTGCCAGCTTATCGTTGTCGTAATGTTTATCGTGATTGTTATCGGTTATCGCCAGGCACTCGCAACACTTTACTATACTTTTACAAAGTCTGCGTGTGTGAGTGTGTGTGTGTCTGTAACTGTGTGTCTTTGTGTGGCTTATGTTCAGATCAGAGTTACAATAGAGAGACAGAGCGAGAGAGAGAGTGAGAGAGAGAGAGAGATATCAAGAGGTAGAGAGAGACAGAAAGAGACTCAAGTTTGGCACAGGGCGACAAAAGGAGACGGAGACATTGATACAACTTCATTTTGTATTAAATTTGATTTGGTTTTCAGCTTGGGATCATCTCAATACTGTAAGTTTTCAACTCTTATTGCTTGATATATATATATTACATTTCTTAATTGTTTATTTTTATATTAATACGTAGACGTTGACAGCATATTCTGTGGTAGCAGGCGAGCAATCTGTTTTCGTCGGTTTATATAGGGTTCTCGTTCTCATTTCATTATTACTATTAATATTTTGTATTATTTTTGGCGCGGTGCGGCTGCGTTTTGATAAAATATCGATTATTATTTCTGGAATTTGCATCCCCTGATTTTTCTGTTTCTGTTCTGGTTTTTTTTTCTGTTCTGTCTTTTGTTTTCTGCTTCTTTTCCTGGAATCGCGCTCTAATCGATTAAAAAAGAAACAATCAAAAATGTAACAGAGATAGATAGAGAGATAGAAAGAGACGGGTGGAGTCGACAAAGCCAAAGCAAGGATAAGGAAAAGTCAACTGAAAAACAAAACAATTGCTTAGTGCAGCTAAAATCTTGAATCGACATCGAGGTTGAAATCAAAACGATTAATGACAAAACGATAAATCAAAAAGCACAATTTGAGCTAATCAACTACGGTATAACGATATATTATATGTATGCAGTATTTATTGTGTAAAAAACAAGGCGCAGATCAAGTGTGGTTTGAAAAAAAATAGACGGAAAGAGAAAGACACGGGGTCGGGAGAAGGTACGAGGGAGACTCTCTTCAGGAGATACACACAGAGAGAAAGAGATAGAGAGAACTCCCTTTTGGGTGAGATCGACAGAGTCCGAGCTGAATGTATCGATATTTATCGGGGGGAACGGGTGAGAGTTGGGTGGTGAGTTTTTAAATGAGAACTAGAATTGCTTGAGTTGTAATTACCATTTTCTATCACTTTGCTTTTGGCGGGGGGTGGGGATGGATGGGCGTGGCCGCATGGGCGGCACCGCACACACACGCACACACACACACACACCGCCAGCAGTGGTACAGAGCCAGTCAATCGGCTATCGATAACTGTTATCGCTGCCGCTGCCGCCGCCGCTGCGCGTCGCCTGCGTTGAGCTCGCTCTTGCTATCGATTTTCTGTGTAACTTAATTGTCTTTTAGTTTTTGATTGATCGCTGATTCGTTGATCGTATTTATTGCTTATCGGTTATCGATGAATTGCTTTCATATATTTTTTTTTTGTTCAGTCGCACAAGCTAAGGCCACCTTTTCACGAGTTGCCCTGTTTTCATTTGATTTCTTTTTATACTTTACGATTAGATATTTTTTTGTTTGATTTTCAATTTTTGGATTTGGATTTATAGTTGCTGGTGCTAAGAGTTATCGCGTCACGTTCCGTTTCGTTTCATTTTGATTCGGCTTAACAGTTCGATTGTAAATATGTTTTGTTATATACTTGGATATATACGTGGCTATATGTACATACGAGTTATCACATTCGTTAGCATTATTCGATCGTAGTTCATAGTTCTTTCTCGTAATTCACCGCATCTGGCACCGATTGCCATTATTTCTGCCGCACTCTCAACTGTCTCTAGTCGGGTTCGTCGCTGTCTTTGCTGGGGCCAGCATCTGGTTTCGCTTTCTCTGGGCAGGATCTGTTCTGGAATTGGAACTAGAGCTTGAGCTGGAGCTGGAGCTGGAGCTGGCGATGGAGCTGGCGATGGAACTGGAACTGGATGCGATTTGATTTGGCCAGGGGGCCTCGGCTTCCTCGGCTGTTGCCGTTGTGGCCTCGGGCTCCTTGTTGTTATCGTTTATCGATCTGCCGTTTCCGCTTCCGCTGGTGGGAATCGCTTCCGGCTCTGGATAATCGCTGGACAGGGTTGTCAGGGTTGCATTTGTCTCATAGCCGCCACTGCTGACGTTGGCATTTCCATATCCGTTTCCGCTGTAGTCAACCTTCGGGTGCATTCATTTTGTTTCGTTTCGATTTCGGTTTTCGTTTCGATTTTATTTTGGTATCGGTATCGGTTTCGGGTACGGTTTCGGTATATAGAATATATAGAGCATTTGGTTTTTTTGTTTTAGTTATATAGATCACCCTGAAACATCTACGGATCGAGGGACGCAGGGAATATAGAGTTGTGTATGTCTTTTTTATTGTCAAAAGGTGTTTGTGTCAATTCAGGGTGGTGTTTATTGTGGGGCTAACACGCACACAATCATAGAGTTCTATAGAGATATAGAGCTTAACTCAAAAAATCGCTTAAATTTATGGCAAAAATTTTGACTTTCGATACAAAAACAAACAAACAAACGAACACACAAACAGCGAGAGGGAGACAGACATAGACACAGTAATAATTACAGATATATATTTATATATATATATATTTAATACTAATCAATCGATTACACAGCCAATTATAAACAATAATTAAATTCAACAAAGAAGAGACGCAAACAGAGAGTTAGAGACATATGTGTACTTTTGAGTGTATGTTTTGAAAGAGAGAGAGAGATAGAGGGACAGAGAGGCAGAGAAAGTTATAGATAGTGGGCCGAGAGAGAGAAAGAGATATGGATATGGGAATATTGGATGGACATGGTTGTTAATGGACAATGGCTTAGAATGGGTCTCGATGAGTACTTCGCCACGGGGCGAAAGAGACGGGAAGACGGGCAAGGCGAGGCGAGAAAGAGACGGGCAGAGAGTGAGTGGTCAGAGTGTGACAGGGACAGTCGCTTTTCATTTTCCTGAGACTGTCTATTGTTTTTTCTTGGGTTTTTCTTTCTCGGACCGCTTGTCGCCTTGTTTCTTGTTTAAAATCCTACTTGATGAATGTTTTGCATATTAATTTAATTTTTTTTCAGCGCCTTTTCTTATTATTCTTGTTTTTTTTTTTTGGTTTTTGTTTTTTTTTTTTTTTGTTTTGAGCTGATGACCTTTCTTGTTGCAATTTATGTGAATGTTTATTTGGTTTTTTGTCTTTTGTTCTGTGATCTTTTGAATATAATGTTCTCACGGTAAGTACATTATTACAAGTATTGTTATTCTTGTTACTTTCATTTGCATTTCGCATTGTTATCATCTATATGGAATGGCAATGGGTGAAAGTCATGGCCACTGAACTCAAAACACAAACGAAATGAATGACTGGGTCTGGGCGTGGGTGGTCGTTGGAAAAGTAAAAGTAAGTAAGAGGTAAGTAGAAGGACGAGTATTATTTTTTGACTGGGATGGAATGATGGTCTTTGGTTTCTTGGTTTCTCGGGGATAAACCCCTTATTTCTTTCTTATTATTCGCTCGACGATGGTTATTGGTTATGGGATTACTTGAGTCGTCCATGGGTCCCAGAATCCTTCGGGCATCTGTCAAGTTCCGAAGTGCTTTCAAGGTCGATGATTTACATGGGGCTGAGGTGGAGTTTAGAGTTTTCTTTTGGGTCAGTATTTACAGTGTGGGATACATTTGACGTTAACATATGGCTCTCGGTTTTTCTTTTTTTTATGTTAATTGGCTTTCATTTTCGATTCTCTTTACTTGGTAATTATGGTATTTACTTGGTTCTCTTTTTGGTTACGCTTATAAAAGTGGTAGTAGTAGTAGAGTAGTAGTAGTAGTAGTAGTAGTAGTGGTATAAATAAGTAGATAGTAGAAGGTAGTGATAACATATTCGATTCGCTTTTTTTTGCTTTGCTTTGCGGTTTGTTTTTTGTTTTTTACTCAATTCGATTTATTATTTTGGTTTTGAGAGATTAAGATATATATATATATATATTTTTGATTCGAGTTGAGTTGTTGTAGTAGAGTAGAGTATGGTATGGTATAATCAATCAATCAACCAAAGGCGGTATAAAAATAGAGCAAGTTCATATGGATTAGTACGGTTGTTACAAAGGAAACAGTTGACACTCACCGATGATCTACTCACTTGCATAAACGCATAGACGCCGCGTAAAAACTCCATGTTATTTTGTTGCTCTTGAGAACCCTTTTGGTTGTGCGTTGGGCCCGACTTATATACTGCTTAACGGTGTCCGCAACAAGATGTGGCTTTAGTTTGCGTGATAGAACCCTAAAAGTTGATAGAATATATTAAATATAATATGAGGGAATCTTAAAGTTGATCTTATATGAAAAGTTATATTATAAATAAAGCAGTAAAGAAGACTTAATATCATCATTTCGAATGAGAACAAACATAAACTGTCGACAGGTCTAGGACATTTACATATACATATACATATGCGTGTCGTTTTGCCCACCAACTTTACTACCATTTGTCTAGTTTTTTCCCTCTTGACGGACAGCCACTCCGGTGGCATGTGGTGGTTCCTTCTCGGTCGAGGTCACCACCACCTTTCGCTTTTCCAGCTCACCACCACCACTCAGGGCTTGGTTCTCGGTGCTTGGTGCTTGGTGCTTGGTGGTGCTTGGTGCTTGGTGCTCGGCCCTCGGCTCGCATCTAAATTGAAGCGCTAAGCAAATTGTCACTTGAGAGGTGCTCGCTTTTCTCATCTTCTAAACGGAAACACTTTCCTCAGCCTTTGTGCTAATTGGCCGCACTTAGTGGCCCAACCACACACCCCACACCCCCACCTCCATGGGCGCTTTTCTCTTAGTTATGTGTGGGTGTAACACGAATATATATATTATATGTGTATATATGCGAAAAGGCCAAAAGGAGCAGGAAGGGAGGAATGAAATGGAAGCTCTGCCGGAGATAGTTCTCGAGGACGATGGTTGGAATTTTTGCGTAGCGGCTAATTGAAATCCTCAGCCAACGACAACGACAACGACGACGACTTTCGACGCATTTCGTGCGAATTGACAGCACCGATTACGCTTATCGTTTAATTGCCGCAAGCAACAGGGAGATAGGGAAGGGTGGGGAGAGGCATCTCTCTGGCTTGGCTCGATTTCCATCTGGATTTCCATTCGGAATTTCCATCAACGCCCACTTGCCATTTCCATGTGGATAGCCCACCCACAGACATATCCTGGCCCTGGCACACACTCACGCATAATTCCAGTTTTTATTATCCAAGCTTTTAAGCTGTGACTAACCAGAGGAGCGGAGATTGCGTTATGCACAGAGAGAAAAGTAGTTTGTCTTTAAATCCAACTAAATTTTTTAAAGAGCACTTAATGCACTTTTGTAAGAAATTCCTACACTTTCACTGGTTAAAAGAGTAACAAAGTAAATGGAACCCTTTTCAATTTTCTATTTATTCTGAAGTTCAAACTTTTAATATAATCTAATCTTTCCTGGTCTTCCCATTTTCTGTCAGTGTGCTCGATGGCAGCTGCCTGATAAGACCGAGGCTTCATTTACTACTCTATTGACTTAAGCAGTCGACAGTGGGGATTTTCTGTGATTTCCCGCACTTTTCCCTGGATTAGCAGGGCATTTAATTGGATTCCCCATGTGGGAGGGAGAGGCATCAGGCAGCAAGATGAAGAAAAAAGAAACTTAAAAGCGTGGGCCAGAATCTGAGGAATTTAATTCTTCACAAGAGAGAAAAAAGAAAAGAAAAGAAATGCAAAAAATTACAACTTTCCAATGCTGAGTATTCCCCAACTAATAAAGTTAGCTCTGGGCTGCCATCCAACGCGCATTTCCGTTTCCGGCTTGCTTCAAATGTATTATTAATGAAAAAAATACAAAAACGCAAAAAAAGAGAGGGAATCATCGAGAGAGAGAGAGACAGAGAGGGGACATGCACACATTTCGCGTTGAATTTTTTGGACTCTTGGACTTGTGATTTTGGCCATATTAGCATTGGCCCCATGCCACGCCCCCCTTTCAGCCTGGGGTCAAAAACAAATTCAAAGTACAAAGCGAATTGCGAGGGGAGGCGGCGTCGTGGGAGTTGAGGGGGAGTTGGGCGTGGCAACGGCAGAATTTCCATCTTTGGCGGTGAAATTGAAAAATCCCACCCAAACCCCTCGGAAAAGCATTGGCATCGCAACGCAATTTGTAACTTGCCTTTCGGCACTCTTTATCGGCCTGGCCAGCGAGAAGGGTGTATCGGTTTTAATTTCCTGTTCATCTGCGATTACAATTTCATTTATTTTTTAAAATTTAAACATGAACATATATATAGAGCTCTCTCTGAAGAGGGTTTCCCTTAAAAATGCATTGCAATAAATAACCTAGGAGATGATTTCTTTATAAAATATACTTTTTATCTAATTAGTTTCTATCCTCATCTCAAAAGATATTTAAAATAGTTTGGAAAATTTCTATAGAGTATTCTGTTTAGCAAATATGCTTTTAAAGGTAATTCTTGCCAGGTAATTCTGTGACAATTTAAAAAAAACTTTGTAACCCTGACTTGGCGGCATTGCCTTTGGCCCCTTCATTACAATTCTAAATCGCGTTGGGGACGATTCTCCGCCGATTTCCTTTTGGTTTTTCCCTTCGTTTTTCTTTTGTGTTATTGAAAATATTTGACCTTTTAGCTGAGGGGCACAAGCTTTTAATTTATTATTATTTTCTTAACCGCATTCACCTTCTGCTTGGCAGGATTTCTCCTTGTTCTTTCTGGTGGTTTTCTGTTTGCTTTTTTTCCCGTCGTTTTTCCTTTTTGTTTTTTGTTTTCCCGGCTGACAGGCGTAACAGAAATGTTAAATTGCGAAAAATAAATCTTGAAATTGACTTTGTGCAGGCTTCGGTTTTGCTTTTTTTTTTATTTATTTATTTTGTTTTGTGTATTTTTTTCACCGCTTTTTGTTTTATTTATCCGGCGTGCTTTTTTTCACAAACTGTCGCCTTTTTGAGTTGCCGCTGACAGCGTGAAAATCGAGATAAATGTGTTTTCATTCCCCGTCCGTTTTGTCGGCGGTTAAGAGGACAGTTTATTTAATTTGAAAAAGAAAAGGAAACCGAAACCGAAACCTGGAAAAATAAAGGTAAAGGTATTTAAAGATGGAAATCAGTTAAAGTTTTGCCAAAGGAAGGAAATGTCCTTTTGAGCCACAAAACTTGGCAAATACTTTATATTTATCTGCAACAAATATTGACTTGTGAGAGTTTATTATTAAATTACTTATGATTTTATATTTTATTTGTTATATTTTCCGAAATTTTCCAAATATTCTTAAAATGTTTATTGTAATTTCATGAAGTTAATGCCTTGGCTTGCATGCATTCCAAATGGTTGAATATTTTCCCAATTTAAATGCCCGTTTATGTGTTTCAAATTTGCAAGGATTGTGTGGCCACGCCCTCTCAGCCCACCCACACACACACACCCACACACACACATTGCAGTCACTGCATAATGCAGCAAGGGAAACGGCAGCTGCCGTTACTGAATCTGCATCTGAATCTGAATCTGAATCCGAATCTGCATTGGAATCCGAGTCCGAGTCCGATTCCGAGCACTGCCATAAAGTTGCAATCAAATTTGGTGCATTTGGGTTGGGGGAAGGAAGGGAGATGGAGGGCATAACAAGGATTGTTGGGTTATTTTACAGCCGCAGCCAATTCACTTTTGCCATTCAGACAGCTGGAGCAATGCAATTGTCAATTTCCGAGCTGAGGGGAAGCATGTAAAAAAAAAACCAGGGGAGCTGAAAGTTTGTCAGGCTTTTGCAAAACGAAGCCGGCTAATCCGGATCACCGATGGATGGGGCAGTCAAGTGAGTTATGTCAGTGATTGATACACGCAGCATCCGTTTTTCTCAGGCATTTCAATTGACAACACACACAACAGGAATACAGGAATTAAATACAAAAGCTTTTGGTAGAATCAAAAAAAAAAAAAAAAGAGTCTGTTTTGAACTATTTAATACAGAAAGTAGAAGTCAAGAGAGTACAACTTACACTTGAATAGATTGCTTTTTCTGCTCAAACTATTTTTGCCTTAATAATCTTGTTATTAATTATGGCAAATTAATTAAAATCTTCAACTTTCTGCTCACTTCACTTAAAAATAAAATGAAAAAACTCTTGTAACTTTGTGGAACTAACGCTTTGCCCCGTGTATCTCGTTTCTCTAGCGATGGAATAGCGACTACTTAGGCATCTGCCGATAGTTGTGCACTTGCAGATATTTTCCGCGAATGAAAAACAACCCGCAGAAGCAGCGGCACAGCAGCTGCAACAGTTAATAGAGGATATGCCAAAAGGAGGGGAAAACCTAAGGCTTTGGGGCGCCCCCCGAAGTATGCAACAATAAACTAGACAAGCTCGACAATTTCGTGTGCATGTATTGGTGAGAGAGAGAGAGAAAGAGAGCAAGGAGCAGGATAGAGAGATAGGAGAGAGCATAACCATGATATTGTTAGTTTATGTGACATGGCCACGAAGCCATTGAATTGCTCATTTCAGATTTCATTCTTGCGCTCTTCCCATTTCCCTGTATTTAAACATTTTTCTCATTTTTATTTTTACTTTTTTTTTTGCAATTTCCTTGTCAGCGTAATAAGCGCAATTAGCAGAGGACCCTGGGCGCAGGATAATAGGTAATAGGAGGAGGGGCGGGGGTAAGGATGAAGGATCCACTGGAACGTGCAATGGAAGAGAGCGCGCATTAAAATCCAAGTGCAAGTCATACATAAATCACCATAAGCTTGAAGCATAATCCAGCCGTCGTATAATTAATTAAGAGGAAAATGAGATTACACAACAAGTGTTATTGCATTAGCGGCAGAGATAACTAATTTGTGCAAAGTATGTTTTAAAAGTTGCTCGACTTTTAATGCTTTACAATTAGGTTGCTTTCTTTTTCGGTGCATAACTACATACAATTGCTTCGAGTTGATCATGTCTTTACCCAAGTTTAAATAATAAACTAAACTCTGTCAACACTCTTTAATTATTTTTAGTAACTTTGACAACCCTGCTGGGTTTTGCATTAACCCACCCATGACCCCACTTAATTGCCACAGCCACAGCACAAATTCCCTCTTATTCCACACACATTGTCCTCTGTCCCTTTGTTGCGGTGAGTCCTTCAAGATTGCCTCCTTGTTGTCCTATAATTGCTCCCGTTAACTAGCCTTCCCCCCGTCGCTGTCGTCCTTTTTGCCACCCCTTTCAATTAAATTGCACGTAAGGGTTGCGGC